CGACGAAGAAGGCGTTTCGCTTCACCGTGGCCTCGGATGTCATGCTTGTGAGCCCACATGCCACCCAACTGTCCGTGCCACACGACTGTCCTTACGGCCAGACCGCAAAGCGCTGGGAAGAGTTCGCCGAGCACATGTGTGTGATCCACCGTGACCTCGTCACAGTCATCAGGCGCCGCCGGCGCTCTGACGACCTTAGGACGGCCTTAGAGAACGATCGAGAGGCCACGACGGGGTGTTGGGCGAGAATCGCGACGAGAGGGAGTGCGAGCAGGGCGTCGTCCATGACCGGTCCAAAGCGAAAAACTTCTGCACGTTTGCAAAAACATCGGACGCGGCCACTTTTCATCATTGAGTTTTCAGGAATGTCGCGCGCCGAACAATCCTGAATTCCACCCTTGCAAAATCACTCTATTGTTACAAGGCTACATGTATCTCGCCGAGACAGCTATAAAACCAAGCAGAGATCCACTCCTCTTCATGATGGCCCATGCATTCCTAGTGTTTTGTAAAATAGCAAGCTTTGTCTATGCAAAATATCGATCATACCGGTACTTGTCCCTGGCTGCCCAGGGACTTCTTGTGTGTCCCCACGTCATGGCCTCCCGTAATTAATAAATACGTATCATGTTTAACAGGTACCTGCCATTTCGCCAGAATTTCGTAAAACGCCACCTTTATTAAGTAGCCGCTCTTGTCGGCGAGCTAGCTGTATGTACAGTATGAGAGGCCTGCGCTCGATGTGGTCGCCCTCCAAGAAGCCAAGCATCGCTTCGTCCGCGCTCGTCGATGGACGCTGCAAAGTACGGCAGCAGGTATCCTCTTTGGAGGATCAATCGGTTGAGGCGAGCGACAAGGCTGGCCTTTCTGCCGAGAGATCGTCTTTCTCGCGATTGAAAGGAAAGAAATGGAGGCACTGCCGAGACGAGAGCAGAGCAGAGCTGGGCAGACGATGCACAGCACCTCCAGTGTAGCGCAGTGGTCGCTGCTGTACTATCCTTCCTGGACGTAGCAACCTGCAGGAGTAGCCTCCTTGGTTGTCGTCGTGAGATGTCGAAGCTTCGATCGACCCCAACGGCTTGTTTTCCCACACCCACTGACTCCTCTCTTCTAGTACACCGCTTCGCTTGGCGGTGGCGGCCGTGTCGTTGGTGCACTGTCTGGCCACCGGCGAGGCCATTGACGTTCTCTCGGTGCAACAAGTTTTGAGCTGCATGTCGCGTGGTGGCTGTGACGGCTGCTGGCATGAGGACGCAATGCTTCGATCGCCTGCCCCCTCCGTCTTCACTCATAATGGCCCCGTCTTATCCATCCATATGCATCTGTTTAGGCAACCAGACGTGTGCATTAGAAGCATCGCTATGAGCTAGGCCATGGTCGACGACACCTTGACAAGGGTTGGTGATCGCCAGCACTACTGGTATGTGTCGTCGGTCGCGGGAGGCGGTGATGTCGGCTTGCGCGGCGCCTTGGTGGATCTCGCACCAGAGACTGGCGCCTCTAAAGGCACGAGCGTCGGGTAGGTGAGGCGCGCCGCAACCTCGCATGCGCCGAAATCACCGGAGCCGGGACCGCGCGCGAGGCGAATGTCACCGTTCTCGCCCCAGTCGGGGCCCCACGCGTTGCGGACCTTGAAGAAGCCGACGGGCGGGTCGTTCGAGCCAGAGGTTTCGGTGCCGTAGCCCACGACGAGGACGGCTTGGTCGAGGCGGCCGCGCGGGCACCACGAGAGGACGCCAGTGTTGTACAGTCGCCACGCGTAGTTGTTGGTCGTCGCGTGCGCCACGACAGGCTGCTTCTGCAGCTGCTTCTCGAGCGCGGCCTCGCCACGCGCTTCCACGGCCACGCCGACCTGGAGAGAAATCGACCCGGCGCACTCGGCGTTGTCGCTGCAAAACGGCGCGACGCCCGAGTGGCCCGAGGTGTATGGGATCGCCGACCCAGTGCACAAGGCGCTGGACTGCCGGACCAGCCACTGCATGCCATCGAATGGAGTTCCGGGGCCCGAGCAGCTCTCCGAGCCGCCCATATACGTGCAGCTGAGCACTTGCTGTACCGAGAGATCGATGGCTTCGCCGGTTGCGAGACAGTGCGCCGACGACACGGCCGCCGCCGCCATAATCGCCCAATCGCTTCGACACTTGCCGATCCATTTCGCTGGCGCGACACAAACTGACTGCTTGGTCCAGTCGACCACGCTCACGACAATGCCGCCGACAGCACTGCGACTCAAAGTGGCGGCCGCTGGGAGAGCTACCGGTGGTGGCACCGGCGATGGCGATGACGCGAACTGCGCAAACTCGTTGTCCGAGAGCAGCGCAAACTTGGTCAAGTGGCTAAAGGTCGCGTACGGGTTGGCCGCCTGCAGAGCCGGAAGCTTGTCCTTGGCCGCCTTCAATCGCCAAAGAAGATCGTCGGTCGTCACGGTCCCTCGCACCAAAGCCATGGCTGCGCGCACGTGGTCGTCATGGCCAAACTTCTTTTGCCAGCGCGTCAAGTCGCGCGTGAGCTCATCGCGCTCGTGGGCCGAGATGTTGAGCGCGTCGACGGTCATCACCCACGCGAGAAGAACGATGGTCATCAAGAAAAGCACACGAAGGAAGCGCATCGCAAGCAGCAGCAACAGCGAGAGGAAGAGTGAGCTTTTGTCGAGGAATCTTGTTGAAACAAGTTGCCAATAAAAGGCGGCGCGTCACGCGCTGAAAAACCTGCCGACCGCACCTTCAACCGACAGAAGACGGCGATAAGAACCGAGCGCAGGGCCTGCAACACACGTACGCGGTGCTGCATCTCTCCGGAAAGCGGTAGCCTCTGGCTCTCTTTCAATCGCGCTTGCTCGGGCCATCGATCGAAATTCCTTCAGCACACTATTTCAACCAAACGCCGCATGACGCGCCTGCGTCCTCGCCATGACGCGCCTGCGTCCTCGCCATGACGCGGTCGCATCGACGATGTTTCTCATCGACCACAAGGTGCGTCTACGCCTGCGGCGGTAGCGCGAGAGGATCAATGTTGCTCCAGACTCGCTACCGCTGTCGTCCTCTTCGCAGCGTGTGGCGAAACATGTGTTTCAAATTTGCCAACGTGTGGCTCCGAGGCGCTGTGAAGCGGATTACATGTAGTCCATTCGCATCATCGAGTTGGTCCGCTAACGTCACCGTCCTCGCCCCAGTTGGCGCCCCACCACCTTGGTATAGTCAATGGACAACTCCTTTGCGCTTCTTTTGGCGCTCTTCAAGCGATACAAGAGGTCGCCGTGTACCGGAATCGACGCCATGGCCGCACGCGCGTTGCCAAGCGACGGCTGCGTAGAGCAGCGCCCAGAACATAACAAGTTCCGTACAGTTTTAGTAGTCCGGTTTCTCTTTGAGAACCTGTAGCACTTACACTATTTTGAATTGTGGCGATCCAAAATCATCAATGAGAAGATCCCGATTTCGTCTTTCATCTGAATACGGTGGTAAGCGCAGATACCATTGTCTGAGATGTGTTGGATACGCTGGACACTGCTTCACGGTGGCGGAGGCTTCTACCCTACAGGCCGCGCTGGCCACTACTGCATGCGTGTTAGGCTCCTTCACGTTGTCTCTAGCTCGTGCTGTCCTCGGAGAGAGCGTTCCGACGACTGTTTCGACTTGCAATCACACGAGCAACTCAAAGTACACTATTTTGCATACGCTTTTAATGTGCAACTGCGCGACGGCGGTGGTCGGTCGCTGCGATCAGAGGCGGAGCGTCGGGTATGAAAGCCGCGACGAGACGTTGCAGGTGCCGAAGACGCTATCGATGTTGCGCTGCAGCCGAATGTCGCCGTCCTCGCCCCACGCGGTGCCCCAAACGTTGCGCACCTTGAAGAAGCCGAGCGGCGCCGAGCCAAAGCCAAAGTCCTCGGCGCCGTAGCCAGTGACGAGCACGGCTTGGTTGACGTGCGTGGTCGGCGGGCACCACGAGAGGATACCGCGGACGTACAGTCGCCACTGGTCGCTGTTGGCCGATACATACGCCATGACGGGCTGCGTCCGAAGCTGATCGAGGAGGAAGGCCTCGCCGCGGCCTTCGACGACGGCGCCGACTTGCAGCGAGATGGACCCGGCGCACTTGGAGTTGTCGCTGCAGTGCCGAGCCAATCCGGTCGTACCGGAGGTGTATGGGATCGCCGATCTAGAGCACAGCGCGTTGGGCTGCGACACGAGCCATTTCATGCCCGGGTAGTCCATCCCATGCCAGCAGCCGTCATATCCACCTGGCGACGTGCAGCTCAAGACTTGTTGCACGGAGAGGTCGATGGCCTCGCCAGTGGCCAGACAGTGCGCCGACGACACGGCCGCCGCCGCCGCGAACGCCCAATCGCTTCGACATTGGCCCGTGTGCCTTACCGGCGGCACACAAACTGATTGCTTTGTCCAATCGACCGTATGGATGACGACGCCGCCGACCGCACTGCGATTCAAATGGTTGGTCGACGCCGGTGGCACTAACGACTGGCGTGGCATTGGTGCTGACCCCGACACGAGCCGCGAAAACTCGTTGTCCGTGAGCAGCGCAAACTTGGTCAAGTGGCTAAAGGTCGCGTACGGGTTGGCCGCCTGCAGAGCCAGAAGCTTGTCCTTGGCCGCCTTCAATCGCCAAAGAAGATCGTCGGTCGACAAGGTCCCTCGCACCATGGCCATGGCCGTGCGCACGTGGTCGTCGTGGCCAAACTTGGTTTGCCAGCGCGCCAAGTCGCGCGAGAGCTCATCGCGCTCGTCGGCCGAGAGCGTGAGCGCACCGAGCGGGATTGAGAGAAGCAGCGCGACCAAGCAGAGGAAGCGCATGACGAGCAGCTCGAATTGTGACTACTATCCGAGTGTCGAAGTGAAGCGTAGGTGTCTCACGCGCTTGGAAATCAAGTGATCGCAGCTTCAACCGAGAGAAGACGACGGCGACAACAACCGCGCGCAGAACGTGCGTCTTCATGAGACGCTTGCGGGAAGATCGTCATAGCCTCCGGCTCTCTCGACGCAGTGCTAGGACCGCAGCACACGCGCCGCCACGAAGCGTCGGTCACGCTCCATGATGTCATTGCACCTTTCTTACCGCACGGTGCATGACGCGCGTGCGTCACCGACACGACGCGGCCGCGTCGGCACCTCGTATCCACCGTCGTCGTCTGCAATGATGACGTGGCAGCCTCCGGCCGAGGACATCGCCAAGAAGGATGCAGCGTTGTCCATTCTGTCGTGGGTGTCGTAGACGCGTGCATGGGTTGTCGCCGGTCCCAATACGAGGGTAGGTTTCTACGAGGGGTAGGGTTTCCCGGTCGAGTCAGTGTACAGCGCGTGTAAAGGGTCGAGGCGCCTCTGTACGGCCGCCGCCAGAATTTATCTACAGTAGGGACTTTGAACGTAAAAGATCATGAAAGCCCTATGGTCTGGCGGTACAGCGCGAGGTTTTACTCTCAGTAGGGTCAGGGTTCGATACCCTATTTCGCGGAAGCGGACGACTTGCGTGTTCAGACGCTTGCATGCCCGATTCCGCGTCATATTTTGTTGCGGACGATGCTGCCATATACAATACAAAATGTACTTTTTTATCGACGCCAACCCCGACCTCTTAATCTATGGTACCTGCAGCTACGTCGAGTCATCGTGTAAAATAATTCATGTACCTTGTAGTGGCAACGACATATAGTGAGTGCAGGGTGGACAATGGTGTTGCCAGCTCTCCTCGTCATAGCATCACAGCACGAGTGCAGCAGGAGTGGGCTTTGAGGCAAGAAAAGCAAGCCTTGGTAGCACTGTCTTGCTTCTCATATACAGGTAGTTCGGCAACGCAGGACCATGAGTATTAAAGCAGGCCTGGTTG